ATACAATGTAACATTTGTAGTATCAAAATGCTGTTGAGACTATCACTATGAATTTCTAGCTGTGCTTCGAATGATATTCTCGCATACACATAAACATCACGTCTCTTTATTTGCCAAAGTTCTCCTGGTCTCCCCTCAGACAACAAATGACACCTCAAAATATTATAAATATTCTCAATATTTATCTAACAAAACCGCAGGGAACAAAATAAGCATCATCCCTCACCTTTAAAAACAAAGCCTTCCAGCCGGGCGTGGTGGCACACGCCTTTAATCCCAGCACTCTGGAGGCAGAGGCAGGTGGATCTCTGTGAGTTCAAGGCCAGCCTGGTCTACATAGTGAGTTCCAGGACAGCTGGGGCTACAGGGAGACCCTGCCTCAAAAAGAAAGACACACACACACAAAAAGCCTTCCTACAACTCTACGGTATTTACTTCATCTTTGTTTTTCCAAAATTGGTTAAAATGACATGAAATTATAAAAACTAGTTACTAGCCTGGTATGGTGGCGCACACCTTTAATCCCAGCACTCAGGAGGCAGGCAGAGGCAGAAGGATCTTTTTGAGATGGAGGTCAGTCTGGTGTACATAGCCAGTTCCAGGCCAGCTGGGGCTCGAGGGAGACTCTGTCTCAAAAAGACAAAAACAAAACAAAACACAACTAGTCACTAAAAGTCTTCTCACAAAAGTTAACAGGAACATGAGCTAGAAAGGGAGAGAAGATCAAAAAAGGGGAGAATACAATGTAACAGCCGAAAACTCCTCATTTCTAAGAAAAGCTGCTGAGTTTTCACCATTATTACTGAAATCACAAACCTTGGTCTCATCTTATTTATCATCATCATGATAATAGATTTAATCTGTGAATAATAAAACACTGCTACAAACAGTCCCATACAATGCACAAAGCATTATATAACCATATATCTCAGGAAGATTTCCCGGGGAGCTTAGCAGACCTAGATTCCCAAGCTTCCTTCCATAAATGAGACAGGATCTCTGGAGGCAGAGTCTGAGCACAGGTTAAACATTCTAGATAATTCTTAGGCACATTACAGCTTGGGAGTCACTGCCTGTGTTTTATTTGGGAGTTTGATGTGAGTCAGGCCTATCTTCCAGGAGGACTTTTTTGAATTTGTGGCATAATTGTCTACTAAACCCCACAATGCCTGCACCATCTCTCTCGATACCTCGTAGCTTACAGCGAAAAGACACCATCCTATGTCTGTCTCCACAGGCATCAGGAGGGAAGTCTGTCCCTCCAATTCATTGCCTCCACCCCTGCAGCTGCTATAACAGCACATGGTACGTAGCTGAAATCCCTACACATACATATTAAACAAAGAAAAGTAAACACACTCAGTAAACACAATTCACACAAAATAACACTTATACAACAGTAGTACTGAACTGCCCACAGGAAATCTAGTGCAATATTTTCCTGGTGTCTCTACAAGCATCAGGGCTCATGACAATACTGACGTGGAAATCACTACCAACTAAGGGGAAGGTAACTAGATGTGACTCTTGTCTAATATCAAAAACTAACAAACATACACAGCCAGGCACGGTGGCACATGCCTTTAATCCCAGCACTCAGGAGGCAGAGGTAGGCAGATCTCTGAGTTCAAGGCTAGCCTGGTCTACATAGTGAGTTTGAGGCCAGCCTGATCTACAGTATGAGTCACAGGTCAGCTGAGTGAGACCCTATCATAGGAAGGTACCAGTCCTCCCTCTGACCACGGACACAGGGAAGACATGCTAGCATACACAGTTCATTTCACAGTCGTGCACATAGCCTTGGATTGCCTGAAGTGTTCAAAAAGAACAAATGGACCAATACACACTCAGGATATGAATACAGCCTAAACACAGCAAACAGATCCTAAGTCTTTAAAAATAAAAATCATCCACGAATTAGGATACAAAAGTAGCATCTGTGCCCTGAGAAGAAAAACTCTCTGGTCTTTGTCTTTTCTCTTCTTCAAACTCTGCTCCCTTGGGCCTGGTTCTGCCATTTGGATTGTTGGTAAGTACAATTGTTTTCTATTTCAATCACAAACTGGGGTGAGGTTGGGATGTGCATGTGTGAGTTCCAGCCTGAGTTCTACTGTCACTTACTATCAGGTAAGTGACCTGAGGAAACTGACCCTCCATGCAGCAATTCCTTCATCGATGCTGTAAATGTTCACAATGTGACCCACCTCTTCATATTTTGTGCCAAATAAAATAATAAATCATGGTCTTAGTTCTTTAGCAGATTATACCTGTAACCATCACTGTTATAATTTTGGAGGGTGTGGATGATGTTTTAAAATGCTTTATCGCATGTCTAACTCAGTGTCAGACTGGCTGGACAATGATACTGATGACCACTTTCCAATTGTTGGTCACAGATGAACAGGAGTGATTGTAAAGAAAAAAAAGAAAGTAGTGGATAACTAGTAATGTGCGTTTTTCTATGATTTCTCCAGTCTATGGAGGTAAACAGCCACTCTAAGCAAATGAACTTCTGTTAATTCTATTCATAGGTGAACAAGGACCTTGAAAAATTGGTTGGTGACCAACTGCCCTTATGCCATCTAAGAATCACACTTCAAACAGCCCACTGATTCCCTAGTTCCTTTGAAAAGCTGTGATATCATTTGTTTCTCATTGTCAAGAACAGCCCGGACTCCATTCCCACTTCCCGCACTGGGATCTAACCCGAGGCACTGGGGAGACTTCCACTTTGTGGAGACAGCAGGGGTTTAACCTACAGCTGTGTGTGGCACAGACCAGATCGATCTGCCCTGCCAGGTCCGATCACAACAACAACATAGCCATCTGGCAGTTGAGGTATTTTCTCTTTCTTTTTTTTTTCTTAAATCATGGTCCAATGTATTATTTTTTGTCAAGGAACACACTATTGAGAATTCACCAATGAGCAGTTAGGTAATATGCAAATGGATTTTAAACAAAAGGAGACTAGTACTGAGGCCCCCACTTTTAGAAGCTTCTGAAAGGTAAGCCCACAGTTGACTAAACTAACTCCTGGCTTGAAGCGTAGGCCACTTCTGGCCAGTAATCAACAGCCATATTTGGGAAACAGACTCTATGCTTGTGAATGTCCACATGCCAGTCAACTGCCAAATCTGGGCATTGCATTTGATTTTAGCTTTCTCAAGCCTCTGAGTCAACAGCTGTGGCCCGCTGGTGGCCTCTGCTTGCTGGAGTTATGAGATATGCCTCTTTCCAGTCTTCTTGTGAATTCACCCACACACCCAAGCAGCAATACTGTGTGTGCATTCAGCAGAGTGAAGTGGATCGCAACCCTACTTCCTCCGTTCCTTAAAGAAGTGTAGACAGCTTGGGGGAGTTTAGAAGCTGTGTCAAATCACAGAAAGAAAAAATGTTTATTTTGCTGTATATGGAGCAGAAAGGCAGCAAACAGCCCCAAATTTAAGATCACACCTGCAAATTACACAGAGGAGAAGTGGCCCATGGCCACTCACTCCATTCAGCTAAATGAAAAGGCTAGGGCACCTTCAGCTTGTTTGCACTCCACACTGTGTAAAGATGTTGTGCACATGCACAATTCACAGCCTTTGAGGACTTAGAATCTAGGCTGGAGAGAGGGTTGTTCCTGAGATCACTTTCTAGGCCACATATGATTTGATACTTAACTGTACCAGATGCCCCTGAGGACCTAAGGGCACATACAGGATTCTAGGCAAAGTCTGGAGATAGGAGGGTTTAACAAGCAGCTGTTTTTCCTCTCAAGAGCAGGAAAGGCACCAAGCTGGTCTTAATGTCTGACTAAGCATTGTTACAGACAAGGCCAGTAGCTCTTCTGCCAGGAAGTTAGCAGTTAGACAAGTACACAGTTATTTCAAAGCCAGGGGGCGGGGAGGGGGGTGGAACTGTAGCATCAAATATCTGCACCCAAGTTTTCAAACCTATATCTTTCTTCTTCATATTTTGCCTTATTCTGTTGTTTAAAAATATTAAAAAAAACTATTTTGCCACTCATTCATGTTTTAACTCTATAACCTGACTCATTTCATTAAAAAAAAAATATCTGGAGGCTGGAGAGATGGCTCAGCAGTTAAGAGCAAGAGGACCCAGGTTCAGTTCCCAGCACCCACATGGCAGCTAACAACTATCTGTAACTCCAGTTCCAGGGATCAGAAGCTCTCTTCGGGCCTCTGTGGGTACTGCATGCATATAGTGTAATTACATACATGCAGACAAAACACTCATTCACATAAAATAAAAACAAATGAGCCAGGTGTGGTGGAGAATGCCTTTAAGTCCAGCACTCATGAGGCAGAGACAGGTGGATCTCTGTGAATTGAGGCCAGCTTGGTCTACATAGTGAGTTCCAGGCCAGCTGGGGCTACAGGGAGACCCTATCTGGAAAAAAAAAGCCCAAAAACCCAAACCAAAAAATTAAAAACCCTAAATAAAAAACAAAACAAAAAAATTAAAAGAAGAAAAGCTCACTAACGGAATAATAATATTCGGATATTTTCTCTTTAATGTGACATTGAAACATATTTTTTAGACAAATCTTATTTTGTAGCCCAGGCTGGCCTTGAACTCACAGCAGTCCTTCTGCCTCTGCTTCCCAAGTGCTGAGATTACAGGTGTGAGCCACCACAGGGGGCTCTGTAACTTAAGATTTTCAACTTATGCTGCCTGTTTGTCATTTTTTTTCTTTAAATCTCCATGTTTGTTAATGTGACATTGAAACATATTTTTTAGACAAATCTTATTTTGTAGCCCAGGCTGGCCTTGAACTCACAGCAGTCCTTCTGCCTCTGCTTCCCAAGTGCTGAGATTACAGGTGTGAGCCACCACAGGGGGCTCTGTAACTTAAGATTTTCAACTTATGCTGCCTGTTTGTCATTTTTTTTCTTTAAATCTCCATGTTTGAAAGCACAGAGTTGCCTTCTAGTTTTTTTTTTTTTTTTTTTTTTTTTTTCCTTTTTTTAAAAAAAAAAAAAAAAAAAAAAAATGTAGAAGTTCGTGGCCTTTTGCATTTTTTAGGCCTGTCAGTACTGCCACATTTGTAATAAATCAATACCCGATTTCGCTATTATGGTAATGGTAAGTTCTAGCTTGTAGGAACAGTCCAGAGAGCTCAGCTTAGCTTGGAACATGGTGCAGCTTTTTACTAACTGGCAAATAGTATATTTTTGTTTAATTAAAAATGAGAAAGCAAAAAGAAAACACCTTCATATATGCAAAACATATTCTATTTAAGAAAGTATATGCACAAAATGATGTTATGTCAGAAGCAAAATGAAAAGAAAATAGCTTATAATATTTCCAATTAGAGTTTCTCAGTATGAAACCAGCAAAGGAAAGCACCTGGTCATGTAAAGATCAGCGCAGCATGCAACTTCCCATGTTACAGAGGCGCGCAGGCGCGGACACTGCTCCCAGGAGGAGTCTTGACATTTATAGAAGCTGAAGACCTGATTCTGCAAATACAACTTCCAAGCTGTGTGAGCAAGTTTAACTTACATGAAAGGCACAGAATGTCATCACATTGAAAAGTAGATTTCATAAACACAGCCAGTCACAAGAACCTTCGTAAGAGTCAGAGCCGCTCTTCACTTGATGCTCTGAATCACACTGAGAACGGGATGGTCTTCACAGCAGACAATGACGTGGTGAAGACTAGAGAGAGGGGCTGCTTACTTTGGATGCTGCCTGCTTTATGCATGCTGGATATTAAACCCTTAGAGCAGATAATTTTCCTTTAACTTGAATTGCTTTTTTTGTCCCCCCACATTATACAGTTGTAAAGAATCGATCACGGAAGGAAATCGTAAGCTGGAGCTCTGCTCTGTTGATCTCTGCACTAGAACACAGAACACAGGAAGTGATTTCAACAGAAAGTTCGCAGGTCTACAGTAACACCTGCCAGAAAGGTTTGCAAGGGACCAGTGGGACATGGTCTCTTTGGATCAGGAAAAAGCAGGGGGAAATAAAGAATAAACTTTAAACAAACAAACCAACCTTAAAATTTCCTATAGGAAATTCTGCCCTTGGGTTTAGTGTTATGGATAAGAATTGAGGCGCAGAGAGAACACATCTAAAATAAAATGATCTTCAATGTGTTGAACCTTCACCGAAAGACACTATTGTAATCACTGGAGACCTACTTTTTTCAAATATTCCAAACTCCAGGGACTGGCCAGTCAAATGCTTTATGGATAGTATGTGGGTGATATAAAGTAGTCCTGCAGCTAAAATTCTGGTTTTTAAATCACACTATCTTCCATGAAATTACTGGCTTTTTTGCTAAAATAAAATTAACTTCAAATCAAAACCATATTATTAAATTTCTGGAGGACTGATTAACAATAATGACACACGTTCTTGGTTCTCACACAAGCTCTACCAGACACACATCTTGTTTGCATCAGCTCAGTGCTGGACGTTCTTGTTGGGTGTTAAAGAGGACCCTAGAGAATGGCTCCTCTGACGGTGACCAGGTGACAGTGGCAGTGCTGGGCTCGGGTTCAGTCACCCTCGTCCTCATGACTCCAGCAGGGCATGCCACCTGCATACTTGCTGTCCCTTGGACTCCTTCATTGCAGTCCAGTGGCTGAGCTCTTCTTCCCCAGAGCTGTTCAGACCTAAGGAAATCCATCCTATCATCTCCTTTCTCTTCATGCTGCGCTTGTTATACACAGACAGTATCAGAGTCACATCAGAAAGCTGAAACAGGGCCACTTGAAAGACAAAAGTCTCTTTGTACACTGGATCTGGCTGCCCTCTGCGGCTGGATGTCTTGCATTTGGACATCTCTTGGCCCATGGAGTTCAGCAGCGTTAACTTAACGTATGTATCTGAAGGAAGAAAGCCAACACACCGCAAAGATCATTTGGAACAAACAAGACAACTCTCTCATGATAAATGCTAAGATTAAGTAGTTACATTTTATAAGGATATGGTGTATACCGAGTTCAACAGAAACTCAACTCATTCAATTTTGATGTAGATGCTCATAAAATACGTGGCAAGTACAGAGAGTGCTAAGTAGGCTGAAAATATTTTGAGCATAGTAATGGGTTAACCTCACTATTTCTACTAATAGAATTTAAAGGTATACCTCATAATCCTTCCTTTCCCTCCCCTTCATGGCCTCCCACAACCTCCCCTGCCCGTCACCACCCTATTTTGCTTCACTAAGCAGGACATCATAGCATTAAGACACTTAGCAAGCTCAATTAGCCACAACACTAAAGCATTCCACTGTGTTTTCAGAGTAAGAATAAACACACAAATAGAAATGAAGGCAGATGTGAGGAGGAAGGACAAGAAGGCAGGGGTGACACGGAGACAGCTTAAGATGAAATGACAAACATCTCTGCATGGATGTGGTTTTTAAATTCATATTTAAAACATTTTACGGGCCCAAATTAAGCCAAATGCCTTAAGGGTTCAACATTCAGCAAACCAAGTAAAACGTTCTCCTGGTTGCATGCAAGAGTACATTGAATGTGCTTTGGGGGGTAGTCAGATGCTATTGGGTTTCTCTCAGGCATAATTAATGTACAATTTTACGTATGATCTTTAAGTGATTTTCATGAATTACAAAGAAGCTGATATGATGTTTAGTGTACAAAATGAGACATAACGCTTCATGGCCCTCTTAGATGGGAGACAGATCCTCTCTATCAAAGACTCTTATGGAGTCCGTTAGACTCAAGCAGATGATCTCCGCATGTTGCTCCAGCGTGTGTATGTCATATCAAAGCCTCAATTGATTTTAAAGACAATTGCAACAGTCTCATGAAATATCTACTTCTCTTGAAACTAAAAATACAAACAAATGGAAAAAGAAAAACTTTTAAAGTTTTGCTCATTTTGTTGAAACTATGAATACCACCATCCATAATCAGAGATAGAGTCTAAGTTAGTTTTATTTAAAATACCACAGATAATAAATGTGCATTTTTTTTTGAAACCAACATGGTGGACAGTCTCACTGCTGGCAAGTTTTAGGGCATTTTGTTTTGCATGAAAAGACAACATCCAATTAGCCTCTACAGGAACTCACCTCGGATTATATAAACCTGTCCACCTATCAAGTGTTTTAGACAACAGAACAGTCCATCTGACAACGGGGGGTGGAAAGCAGTAAAAGAAATAATGACCAGATGTCAATCATCGGGTGGAAGAGGGTCAAAGGTCAGAATTAAAGAGGAAACACTGCACTGGAGTGGAAAACACAAAACTTTAGCATTTTAATTCAGGTAGAAGGCTGAACAAAGGGTGGTGTACATTTCATGGAATGAAAAAATTAACATCATTGTGTAATCTTAAACAAAAATTACACTATTTTAAGAGGGCATATTTATAATGATATCCTCTTGGTCTAAAGCACATTGAACATATAGAATCATGCAAATCATCAGACTATAAAGACTGAATAGATCATTATAGGATCACCTTTACTGTGCTATCCATGCAATATTTAATATTTTAAATGACTTGATTACTCCCAATAAAAAAATTAAATTATGAAAGATGAACTAGAACTATCAGAATTTTAGCTGCTGAGTGAGCGTTGCTATTATTTCCTTGGATAAATTTGAAATTATTCGGTCTATGAGGCAGTTCAAAGCTTAGAACCTGAATATTTTTGAAGGGCTATAATCTTATAATTTATGACAAATTGATAGAATTGTCTTGTAGTTTACTCCATAAATATCTTACATGCCTTTTATAAATACTTTGTTTTCATATCACTATTTTAAAAATTGACTTTATTTGCTTACTTGAGGCTTTCTAGCTAATACCATTAGTCAACTTAAGGCCGAAGATCGAATTCTAAAATAACAGCAACTGCTGTAGCCCTTACACCCAAGGAGAGACCCCATGTTACAGGTGCTGGCATTCCCAACATGTTTACTGCCAACTTGGCCCCTGGCTCCTTGTGGCTCATTTCTGCTTCTCTATTTCTATACCACAGCATCATTCATTCTATGAACTTGTCAAAAATTAATAAACTGTCAGCTAAGCCAAGAGGTGCATCCCAGTTATGACCCCGGGATGCTTTGTTTCCTGACAGTATTAAAGCACCTTTGAAACTTGGTGCCTTAGGCCAGGTGGGCCCATGTGTGGTTATCACACCCTCACCTGCTGTCCACCTGCAAACCTTTCTCAGTCCTTTGAGCCTACATTTTGGGTGTGTTTGGAAGAAGACAATCAAGCCACCCTCTCCAGTCTGCTTATTCTGAGTGCTCTTTCACCCACTCCATTTTTCTTTGGAATGAGACAGTGGATGATACTAATTCTACTTTTATGCATTTTTGTCAGATCTGAGTCTCACAATTACCTTGTGAGAGACATGACCTTAACTTTACCTATGAAGAAACAGACGTAGGGGGTTAGGCCATTTGTCTAAGTACAAAGATTATAAGTTTACCCTTCAGACTTTTCAATTCAGATCATTCTATGATGCATGTAAGCAGCTTGCGCTTCCCAACATTTCTTGGGGCAAACCAAATATATTTTTATGACTTTTCACCTACATTGAATAATGAATTTTTATGACATTTAAAAGCAAAGTTAATGTAATTCAAGGATAGAAAACGTCTCCTCTCTGCGTAGTACCCTGAGTAAAAGAGTGTGTTAAGGAAGTCTTTGGGAAACCTTTAAGCAAATTTAATTTGCTATTATTCACCATTTCCTGTCAAAGCTTTAGTCCAGGGCATGAATAAATGTTAGAGAAATATACAGAAGGTGCTCTGCTCCAGTTTGGATGTGGCTTCTAGACATCAACAGGCCTGGAGGTACAGTGGAGGACAATTTCTCTGTATTCCCTAAGTCTACTCTCATCCCCATGAGAGAGAGAGGGTGGAGGAGAGAAGAGAGGGGAAGAGAGTCAGGACAGAGGACCGCCCTTGGCTTTCCTGTCCAAACGTCGAGGGCAAGCACTCACTGTCCCTGATTCTGTTTTCCTAGGAAAGGGAAAGGCCATCCCAGCTGAGACTTTGTCAGCTGCTCTGGTTGTTAAGTTTTTCTTTTTTGTGGAGCTGGTGATGGAACCCAAGACCTTGTGCATGCTAAGAACACTAGTATCACTCAACTACACCCTTAGCCCTATGATTTTAGGGAGAAGGAAAGGGGAGGAAATACTTTCTTCATGAATTGTTAAGGGGAAAGGATGGGAAATATAGAAGTAGACACATCAGTTCATAGTATGCATGCAGATGGACAACACTAGTATTCAGCCGACAGTAGCTATATGTATTTCTATTCGTATTTGTGAGTTGCAGTCATTTTTCAAAACTCTCATGTTTTCTGGCATTAAAAGATACTGGCTACCATAGGGACTATTCATTCTACAGACACTATGAGAAACTAAAATTCCTCTCACCATACAATTAATATTTTGAATTTCAAATTTTCTACTTCCCAAATGGCTAGAAACAGAAAACATGTAACAGATTAGCAGATGATTCAGCATTTCATTGTGACTAGTTAAGACTAAAATGATAGGCTTGAAGCCTCAAATGCTGGGAGTCCTCTACGTGTAGAAAACATCAGAACAAAAATATTTTTCTCACTCACTGGGTGGTCTGTTTGCTGCCAGGTTTTTGAAATGGCTGCCTTTTATCACTTCTGCTGATAATCTTCCAGTAGTGGCGTTGTAAAGCAGCCCAATGAGGATTTCTGGAACAGAGCCATGTTCAAGAGATTGACAGGAGGATGTACTTTCACCACAGGACATCTCTGACACGCTAACTTGGGAGTCACAGCCCTGCAGAGCAAATGTGAAATTGGTACGTTAATAGATCAAGGAATAAAATGGTAATGCTGTGTGTACTGGAATCAGGCAGGTAAGCTATAATAAAAGACAGGTAGAGATGCGAATCATACTCCCCAGACACGGTTAAAAATGCTGTTTGTAGGTATTTCAGTCCCTAGACCTTTTCATACCGGAGTAAAAAGTAATAGGAGATGTGAAAGTTTTCTATGTTCTTGGACATCGTAATGCAAATTAGGACATAAATTCCTTAAAATTTTTCTTATTAGATATTTATTTATGTGTATATGGATGAGAGAGAGAGAGGGAGAGAGAGGGGGAGAGAGAGAGAGAACACACTTTGTATGCACATGGGGGACAGACATTTGCAGAAGCTGGTTCTCTCGTTCCTCATGTGAGTCCCAGGGATTGAACCCAGGTCTTCAGGGTTGGCAGCAAGTGCCTTTATCTGCTGCGCCATCTCCTTGGCCTGATAAATGTCCTAAGCTTATACATGGTAATGAGGTATTTTCTGAATGTGGAAGATTGCTTTCTAAACAGTTATCAAACTTAAAACATAGACAAGGATTTAGATTTATTTATATTAAATATCTAAGCTGTATTCTTAAAGACAAGGATTGCCACACTTTGAGTAAATTAACATTATCTGCCATTTTTAAGACAACATCAAAACAAAGAGAAACAGAAAAGTGCAAGAATGATAAAATTAACTATGCACACAATAACTTAAAGAAAACAGATGCAGCTGTGTCAGTATCAGTTTCCTGGAAGACAAAGTTGCCACTAGAGAGGAACCATACTTAACAATGATGTGCTGGATAGCTTTAGTGTCAACTTGACACACCTGGGTTGAGGGAGCCTCAATCGGGGAATTGCCTCCATTGGACTGGCCTGTGGCCATGTCTGAAGAGCATCTTCTTGATGAGTGATGTGGGAGGGCCTAGCCCACTGTGGGTGCTGCCACCCCTGGGCAGTGGGCCTGTGTAGCATAAGAAAGCAGGCTGAGCAGGAGCCGGGGAACAAGCCAGTAAGCAGCATTCCTCCGTGGCCCATGCTCCAGCTCCTGCTTCCAGGTTCTTGCCCTGAGTTCCTACCTTGGGCTCCCTGATGAACTGCAACCCAGGAGATGTAAGCTGAATAAACCAATTCCTCCCCAAGTTGGTATTGGTCAGAGTGTTTTGTCACAGCAATGAAGAAACAAACCAAAACAAGTGACAAAGAATTCAGTTTCTGTGAGGATAAAACAAATACAAATATGCATGCATTTCATAATGTGGGCTAAAAATACAGAAAGCAAGGATACTAATAACTATAAAGAGAAACAGAAAGTCATCATCAGTGGGCGGGGGCATGAGCTGACTTCTCTCAGTGACTGGTCAGATGAGCAGACAAATGAACACAGGGGAGGCAGGTTTGACTATCACAGAGAGAAAGCAACCTATGGAGACACACAGGGCACCGCAACCCCAACACGGTAACAGAACCACACAGGGCACCCCAACACGGTAACAGAACCACATAGGATACCCCAGCACAGTAACAGAACCACACAGGGTGCCCCAACACGGTAACAGAACCACACAGGGCACCCCAACACGGTAACAGAACCACATAGGATACCCCAGCACAGTAACAGAACCACACAGGGTGCCCCAACACAGTAACAGAACCACACAGGGTACCCCAACACAGTAATAGAGCCACACAGGTCACCCCAACATGGTTACAGAACCACACAGGGCACCCCAACACAGTAACAGAACCACACAGGGCACCCCAACATGGTAATAGAACCACACAGGGCATCCCAACATCATAAGAAAGCCACAGAGGGCACCCCAACATAGTAACAGAACCACACAGGACACCCCAGCATCATAAGAGAGCCACACAGGGCACCCCAACATGGTAACAGAACCACTCAGGATACCCCAACACGGTAACAGAACCATACAGGAACCCTAACACGGTAACAGAACCATACAGAACACCCCAACACAGTAACAGAACCACACAGGACAACCCAACATGGTAACAGAAGTCTTTCCCTTACAACAAGAATAAAGCAAATAACAACAACAACAGAGCCAAAACTTTCACAATATGTTTTTTGGTCTACTAGAAATGCAACTCTTTCCTAGAGAGGAACAAAGTACCTATATATTTGAATGCACTTGCAAATAATCCTTGGGAAACTAAATGATAAAATAAGATTAAAAAGACTGATGAGGATTAAAAACTAGGTAAATTTCTGGGAAGGCCAATGAGAGTGATGAAGAGAGAGACTAGCAGAGCCTACTACCTACTCTACAGATCAGCAAGAGAGAAGGGGGAATCTAAACAACTTCTAAGAAATCCAAAATTTGAATGGAATTGTCACATTCCTAGAGAACTACAGGTAACAGAAGGGATACTAGGAGAAACGGAACACCTGAACAGTATTGCTTAGGAAAGTGAACTTGTAATTAAAAACCTTTCCAAAATAAACACACAAAACAACAATTTTAGCTGCAACAGCTTCCCTAGTGAATTCTAGCTAATGTTAGTATTTCCCCAAATGCTTCCACATAGTGAAGATGAAACACTCCTTAACTCCTTTTAAGAATCTAGCAAATCCCCAAAACCAAAGCCTAACCAAGAATGCTATAAAAAAAGGGTAAGAGCATCTGGAGAGATGGCTCAGTCAATAAACACACTGGCTGCTCTTGCAGAGGATTCAGGTTCAGTTCTCAGGACCAACAAGGTAGCTCACAACCATCTGTAATAATTCCAGTTCCAGGGGATCCAATGCCTTCTTCTGGCCTCTGTGGACACTGTGCCCATTGGTGCTCTTACATATATGCAGGCAAAACACCCATACGCATGAAATAAAAATAAATAAAAAGGTAAGAATCAGGGTGGGTATAGTGGCGCATGCCTTTAATCCCAGCACTCGGGAGGCAGAGGCAGGCGGATCTCTGCGAGTTCAAGGCCAGCCTGGTCTACCTAGTGAGTTCCAGGACAGCTGGGGCTAAAGGGAGACCCTGTCTCAAAAAGACCAAAAAAAAAAAAAAAAAAAAAGGTAAGAATCATAGGAATTTCTTATTTATGAATCTAGATTAAATAATCCTAAATAAGCTATTAGCAAACCAAGTCTATCAAAACATGACATCATGACATCATACTTAAAGAATGTTTTGGGCAGCTGGGGCTCTAGCTTGGTTGGTACAGTGCTTGCCTAGGATGCAAGAAGCCCTAAGCTCTACCTCTAGCACACACAGCTGGGTGCTGTGCTGCACACCTGTAACCTCAGCACTCAGGAGGCTCAGTCGTTCTTGGCTACATAATGACTTCTAGGCAGCTTGGGACACATGAGTCCCTGTCTCAAAGAATATATTTTTAAACTGTTTTCCCCTTGAAACTGTCAAGTATTCCCACTCTTAGTCAACACTGTAGTGGAAGTCCCAGCCAGGAAAGGCCCTGGCCTTAATAAATGGTAATGAAATGAAGCTGGGGGGGACCATAATTTAAGAGTACATAAGTTTATCCTTGTGCACAGACCACATAATTGTGTTCAAAGAAAATCTGAAAAAATTCATAGAACTACAGTTGCACAAAGGGCGAAGTTAAGACACGTGTACACCACACATTCTAGCACGCCTGAAAGTAAAAGTTGTAACAGCAGCACTCACAGACTGGGGCATGGCAGCTCACAGTTGCACCTCAGCACTGCTGAGGATGCTGAAGCAGGAGGATGGCACGCCTCAGGCCAGCCTGGTCTCCATGGTGAGTCCTGGGCCAGCCTGGTCTACAGTGTCAAATAAAACAATCAAAAGCATTTGCCGCAGCATAAAATATAAAATATCCAGGAATGAATGTACTAAGCAACAGGTGAGCCTGCAAGGCTTCTAAACTGTGAGCAGCACTCAGAGAAAAATGGAAAGTGCTGTAGAGACAAGCTCTGCCACGTCGGGGGCTTTGTTCTGTAACATCCTCTCCTTATCATCCATCTCTTAAATTCAAGTCTAATAAAAATATCAGCAGATGCCTTTGCATTTTCTTGACTTCATTAGCATTCAGGGGAATAGAAATTCAAACCATGGGTAACTCAGAAGACAGATGGGCTCAAAGAGCACTAAGCATGGCGTGGACACAGACTTCTCTGGTGAGAGAATAAAGGGGTACTTCTTTAAAAAAGGGCAGAGGCACACCGCCGTTTGGCAATTCCACTCCTACCTATAGACTCACTGCAGAATGTGTGCAGTGTCACCAAGAGACAAGAAGGAATGTCCAGGGTGGCAGTCCTCACCCTGGATCCAATCTGCAGGATGGTTTTATGGTGAGCTCATAAGGTGCGTGCCGCGGCAGAAATGTTACAAGTGCAACTCTCATTGCCCTCCCCCAGGACCCCAGTAGCACAATCCATTTGTGTACATTAAAAACAAGCCCCAAACAAACAACAACAAAGACAACTAGCAGATAAGCCAGTGTTCAGAAGTATGATGGGTGGTAAGACAGCGGAGAGAAGCAAGAGAGGGACGAATGAAGAAGTGGAATGTGGCTGACTCTAGAGTGGGCAAGGGCGCGGTGGAGGACACGGGGTGCGGTGGAGGACACGGGGCACGGTGGAGGACACAGGGTAGGCTTGGCCTTTATTTGACCTGAATGGCACTTGTGGTGGGCGGGCAGTACCATTTCTGGTTTTCACATTTTTCTAAGTGGGTTTCATAAGAAAAAAATTTAGAAAGGATTACTTGATATAAGACGAAAAACCCAGACATACATATACAATGGCAAAATAAATATTTCAAATTTTAGGAATATATCTTGAGGATTCCTAAAAGAATCTCACAAGTTAGAAAAACTGAAACAGAAGAAGGAAGCTTGTGGCACATGCCTTTAATCCCAGCAGAGGCAGGTGGATCTCTGAGTTCAAGGCCAGCTGGGGCTACAAGGAAATTTTATCTCAAAAAAAAAAAAGAAAAAGAAAAAAGAAATGAGGGAGGGTGGGAGGG